CAGATTTAATCCTTTAGGTAGAAATTGTTCCTTATCTCTGGGTAGAAATAAAGGATGTTTACTTCACTGATGTTTCAGATTTAATCCTTTAGGTAGATATTGTTCCTTATCTCTGGGTAGAACTAGAGGATTTTTACTTCACTGATGTTACAGATTTAATCCTTTAGGTAGAAATTGTTCCTTATCTCTGGGTAGAACTAGAGGATGTTAACTTCACTGATGTTTCGGATTTAATCCTTTAGGTAGATATTGTTCCTTATCTCTGGGTAGAACTATAGGATGTTTACTTCACTAATGTTACAGATTTAACTCTTTGGGTAGACATTGTTCCTTATCTCTGGGTAGAAATAAAGGATATTTACTTAACTGATGTTACAGATTTAATCCTTTGGGTAGATATTGTTCTTGATCTCTGGGTAGAAATAAAGGATGTTTACTTCACTGATGTTACAGATCAATACTTTGAGTAGATATTGTTCCTTATCTCTGTAGATCTAGAGAATATTTACTTAACTGATGTTACAGATTGAATCCTTTGGGAAGATATTGTTCCTTAGCTCTGTAGATCTAGGGAGTATTTACTTAACTGATGTTACATATTTAATCCTTTGGGTAAATATTGTTCCTTATCACTGTAGATCTAGAGAATATTCACTTAACTGATGTTACTGATTTAATCCTTTGGGTAGATATTGTTCTTGATCCCTGGGTAGAAATAAAGGATATTTACTTAACTGGTGTTACAGATTTAATCCTTTGGGAAGATATTGTTCCTTATCTCTGGGTAGAAATAATGGATGTTTACATCACAGATGTCTATTAACCGACTTATTTAATTTTCACCTAATGTATATTAGGCCTAAAATTTTAGTGCTAGTCTTACTTAGTTTCACTTTTGTTTCTAGAAGCTATTTTCTTTATAAAATATAAGGCTACACACCTCATGATGCATCAAATATTAAAAGACATATTTTGGTAATACATACCCTGACTTTGGGTGATAGATTTATGAAAACTTCCGTTGTAACTTTTGTTCGTTACATGTTCCATCTCACTCACACATCATCAACTGTTACAGTTGTTATTTTAAAACTTTAGCATGTCAGATTGTTTCCCTTGTATATATCTCTCTTGAAATAATTTATTTGACTGTCAGGATGAAAAGATCTTGGAGCTGATGATGAGTAAGGGTGAAGAGGAGAAAGCTGTCAGCCGTGACCGGTACATGGCAGACCTCGCCTGGGACATACAGCGCAAACGAGAGGAAGAGGCAAAGATAGCATCAGAGATGAGGAGGCGGGAGCTACTTGCTGAGGAAAATAGAATCAGACATCGTAGAAAGGTTGGTGATTCCTTCTCTGTGAAACATGGTATAAATAGCTGTCTGTATAAAGAGGTTGGTTGTAAGTGGTTCAATGTTACAATCATTCTTCAGTACTCCAGTGAGTCACTGTATACTAGTTGTTTAACATTTATAGGTGTTCAAGTCATGTATTATGTACTTTGTAGGTATGGTATTTCTGTTATGTTAATCAAACCTGTGAAAATAACCAAGAATAGTAATTATAATAGAGCAGTATTGAAGCTAAATGTGTCGACAGTGTCTATTAAACATTAGATACTGGTATATTTTGTTTGAGCAGTGGTCTAATTTTGATTGTTTTCTCATTGTTTGTTTCTAGTCCAAATTGACAATGGCCTGATTGTGTGTTTTAGGTGGTGACAGAGAAGCAACGACTAGAGGTTGAGGCAGAGGTACTAGAGGCAAGAGAACGGTCGCTGAGAGAGAGCGCCGCACAGTGGAAACACTCCTCCCATATACAGCTCACCATGAGGGTAGGTGTTATATTTGTATATTACACCTCTACTTTATTTACTCTATATAAAAGTAATTGGTTAAATCGAATATATCCCCACTTTTGCCTGAGTGTGTTTTAGTCCTGTGTGTTAGTCTGGGAACTAAAACACACCTACACTCGGGTGTTTCTGCCAAGCCAATCAGGTGTGAGGTGGGCAGAGCTTGTTACCGAACTCGGCAGTGAGGCGTGAGGTGAGCGGAGCTTGCTACCGAACTCGGAAGCATTTGGCTCCATTGTCATCAAAAGGGTAGTTGGGAAGTGAAGCTGTACCGCTTATGGTTTATAAATATTTTCTAGTTAAAACTATTTCTCCAGGTGTTGTATTTATATGACTAGCTCCTCCCATATACAGCTGAACATGAGGGTAGGTGTTGTATTTGTATGACTAGCTCCTCCCATATACCGCTCACCTAGAGGGTAGGTGTTGTATTTGTATGACTAGCTCCCCCATATACAGTTCACCATGAGGGAAGGTGTTGTATTTGTAGGACAAGCTTCCCCCATATACAGCTCACCATTAGGGTAGGTGTTGTATTTGTATGACTAGCTCCTCCCATATACAGCTCACCATGAGGGTAGGTGTTACATTTGTAAGACTAGCTCCTCCAATATACAGCTGACCATGAGGGTAGGTGTTACAGTTGTATGACTAGCTCCCCCCCCCCCCCCCCCCCCCCAATATACAGCTGACCATGAGGGGAGGTGTTGTATTTGTATGACTAGCTCCTCCCAAATACAGCTCACCATGAGGGTAGGTGTTGTATTTGTATGACTAGCTTCTCACATAAACAGCTCACCAAGAGGGTAGGTGTTGTATTTGTATGACTAGCTCCTCCCATATACAGCTCACCATTAGGGTAGGTGTTGTATTTGCATGACTAGCTTCTCACATATACAGCTCACCAAGAGGGGAGGTGTTGTATTTGTATGACTAGCTCCTCCCATATACAGCTGACCATGAGGGTAGGTGTTGTATTTGTATAACTAGCTCCTCCCATATAAAGCACACCATGAGGGTAGGTGTCGTATTTGTATGACTAGCTCCTCCCATATAAAGCTCACCATGAGGGTAGGTGTTGTATTTGTATAACTAGCTCCTCCCATATAAAGCTCACCATGAGGGTAGGTGTCGTATTTGTATGACTAGCTCTCCCCATATACAGCTCACCATGAGGGTAGGTGTCGTATTTGTATGACTAGCTCCTCCCATATACAGCTCACCATGAGGGTAGGTGTTATATTTGTATGATTAGCTTCTCCCATACACAGCTGACCATGAGGGTAGGTGTTATATTTGTATGACTAGCTCCTCCCATATACAGCTCACCATGAGGGTAGGTGTTGTATTTGTATGACTAGCTCCTCCCATATAAGGCTGACCATGAGGGTAGGTGTTATATTTGTATGACTAGTTCCTCCCATAAATAGCTCACCATGAGGGTAGGTGTTGTATTTGTATGACTAGCTCCTCCCATATACAGCTCACCATGAGGGTATGTGTTGTATTTTTATTTCTAGCTCCTCCCATATACAGCTCACCAGGAGTGTAGGTGTTGTATTTGTATTACTAGCTCCTCCCATATACAGCTCACCAGGAGTGTAGGTGTTGTATTTGTATGACTAGCTCCTCCCATATACAGCTGACTATGTGTGGGTAGGTGGTGTGTTTGTATGACAAGCTGATAACATACTTTTGTTCACAAGTCTTTGTTATGAAATATTTATGATGAAATCTTTTGCAGGATATGAAATTGGCTGAAAGAAAAGAAAAAGAGCAGTTGAAAAAGTTATCACAGGTATCTATATTAATATAAAGCTGCTACATGTATGAGGCATCAAAGCTAGCACATAATCAATAGTCATAAACGATATCACAGGTATTTAGTATTAAAAATAAATCAAAAAAACAAAAAACAAAAATCATTGGCCAAAGGGTTCTCAGTTTTGTATAAACGGAGGGTATGGCCCCCCTGGGGGCATGGGGGCGGGGCCAAATAGGGGGAAAATAGGTAAATCTTTAAAAATCTTCTACTTCTTAACAAATAGAAGGATTTTGACCAAATTTGTTCTAGAGCATCATTGGACAAAGGAGCCTCAAGTTTGTATAAACAGAGGGTGTGGCCCTTCGGGGGTAGAGGGGCGAGCCTAATAGGGGAAATGGAGGATTTTTTTTTTTCTCCTACTGTACAAGTGATGGGATTAAAACCAAATGCAGTCTTAAGCATGCTTATGGACAAACAAATCAATTTTGTATTAACTGAGGTGTGTGGGTACCCTTCTTTAGGGCAGATGGGTCGGGCCAAATAGGGGGAATAGAGAAAAAAAAAAATCCTTCTGTACAAATGGAGGGATTTAAAACAATGTGATCTGAAGCATGCTTAGAGGAAAAAAATCTATTTGTTTAATTGTTATAAAAGGTGCATGTGAGGCCCAATGGGGGAAATAGAGGAAAATTGAAGATCTTTTTTTTATTAATGAAGTTTTTTTTATCAAACTTTATCACAACATGCAGGTGAAATTAACAACTGATAATGATATGTTTTGTTTACAGGAACGTAATAGACAGTTGATGGAGCATGATGAGGATGAGATGAACGAGTTAGTATTGGATAAACACCGGACTGACATTCACTCCGCTGCTCAACGCAAAGAAGCTAAACTTCTACAGGAATCCATGGTATGTCTGCTGTTCCATTGTCATTTCCCATTCTGTTGTTAAAAAGAGAGTCAAGTCCTTATAGGACCCTATACACCCCTATGTAACTTTAGTAGACTCTACCATGCATTGATATGGATGAGTCTATTATGGTCTACAGTGGTGAAAGGGTTAAATATGTTCATGCATATTAGATCACATCTCTCCATGAACAAATATGTAGGAAGGAAGGCTAAGAATAACTCTCGGAGCGTAGGAGATGCACGTTCTGATGTTGTTTATCTTTCTTTTTTGAAAGGAGATATTAATGATTATTTAGAATTATTTATAATATCTATTATGTACAGGCAAAAATGTTAATAGAATTTGATTAAAAGTGTGTTTAGTTTGTGTTATCAACAGAAAGTGCAAGAATTTTAAAATAATTGTTTATCTGTTAAGATAAAGATAAGAAATGAATGCAGTATGAGATAGATAGCTGTAAACTCTTTAAAGATTTTTATTTGTCTGAATGATTTGATTAGGAATAGATACATGTAATATGAATATGAGAAATTGTATGTACATCAGCTTATATCTCAGTGTATTTTTTATTCAAGAAAAAAGTGATGGAGAATAGAAACAAGAGGAACACATTTGAGGATCGACGCAAACTGATAGATGAGATAACTGAGTAAGTAAAATGTTACGTCAATCAATGAAATAACTGTATATTGTTGTGTTGATCTCATAATTGAGAAAGGATTGTTGCGAGGTATTTTGAGGGAAACTAGAACCTAACTCTGATGATCGAGATCTAAAAGTATGACATTGCTCACATTCTGATTAACCTAAAGATTGTTCTATTGTTGTCCATTTTTTCTGTTTGTCTTTTCGACTAATTATTATATTTTCCGAATCTCTACAATAGACAAGACCAAGACCACAGGAAGCATTCCATACACAAACGCCACAGTTCTGCCGAGGTCAACCTCCAGCTGGTCACCCAACAGAAGGAGAATGAACTCCGTATGAGTCAGTAAGTGTCACAAATCCTCAATTCCCGGTTACTCTTCTTTGCCTACTCATTTACTACATATACATATAGATCAGGGGCCTGTTCGTTTATGCGGAACAACCGGTTTGACTGTTTATAAATGTAACAATGTCAGGTATAAATCTGTATGGCGGACCTGCAAATGTTTAGGCAGGCCTTGTAAGGCTTTGTCAAGGCTCGCCTGGAAGCAGCATCATGCAGATAACTAGGTCCGACCTTATTTAATAAATAAACAACTGTGGTCCGTCCGGTTTGACCGTTTTAAACGAACACGGCCCTGGAGATTCATCAAACTGAGGCTAGTGCTGATTTGGAATTAATTCACAAGGAGAATCAGGTCACCTTTGAATGCCATCAGAGGGAAAATGTATTATCTTTACCTTTGTTATGACCTCCTGAGTTACTGATGCAGTAATGACTTCCTGCTTAGCATTATTATTTGATTTGACAGACTGGAGCGAGAGAAGAGAGCACTATCGGCCAAACTGTCACAGAAGAAACTAGACCAGGAGCTAGAGGAATGGCGTAGTAGTGTCAAGAGTCATAGGAAAGCTGTAAGTCAGGCAGACCAGGACCTTGGCAGTGACCTTTTACTTTCAAACATTTTTATCATATATGTTGGTTTATGGTAAAACAATAAAAATTGAATATAAAGAAGGATTTGTGGTTAAGAGATTTGTATATTAGAATTTAAAAAGTGACCTTTTATTATCAATCATTTTTATCACACATGAAAGGTTTACGGTAAAAAAAATATAATTGAATATAAAGAGGGATTTGTGGAAAAGACATTGTATTTTAGAATTTAAAAGTGACCTTTTATTTTCAAACATTTTTATCATACATGAAAGGTTTATGGTAAAAAAATAGAATTGATTATAAAAGTAAGAATTGAGTTTTTGAGGAAAAGACATTGTATTTTAGAATTTGAATATGAAGAGGGATTTATGTAAAAGATATTTTATTTTAGAATTTTAATATAAAGAGGGATTTGTGGAAAAGATGTAGTTTAGAATTTTAATATAAAGAGGGATTTGTGAAAAAGACATTGTATTTGTGCATTGGAGTAAAGAACATTGCAATTGATCAGTGCTTATTGTGGCAAATATTGATACTTTTTGAAACATCATCAAGTGAACAAATTTGTTAAAATTTTCAAATTTTCAAATTATGTGTGACCTTGATGCATTTTGTTTTACAAAATTACAGGCAGAGCGCCACGCAACTGAAGTCAGTGCCCATAACACAGATATGAAAGCACGCAAAGCTCACGAAGAACGAGTACTACGAGAGCAGGCTCAGAAAAGTGGCATCAAAAAGTGAGAATATCATAATGTCTTTCAAACTAACCTCAGCAATTTAATCACCTTATACTTTATTTGACTTCCCTGCTCCAGCTGCATGTTTCCGATTTAGTTAGAATATTTCCTGTTGGAGATTTTGAAGTTAACGTACAGTATCGGTTGTAACAATATTCCATGCTCTAACAGTCGCCCATCCCTTCTCTTTAGACCATAATGGACTCATCCATATCAATGCATGGAAGGGTCTACTAAAGTTACATAAGGGTGAAAGGGTTAATCAAAGTAACTCTGAACTCGACCTTAACTTTGATCTTACTCTCTGAATTACCTTGGTCACCTACCCCTATTTTTAGCTCACCTGGTCCAAAGGACCAAGGTGAGCTTATGCCATACCGTGGCATCCGTCGTCCGTCCGTCAACAATTTCTTTAAACGTCTTCTTCTTCTTAACCACTGGTTGGTATTAAACTAAATTTGACTGGAAGCATCCCTAGGTGGTGGGGATTTAAAATTGTACAAATGGTGGGGCTGACCCCCCAGTGGGCTGAGGGGCGGGGCCAAAAGGGGTCAATTTGTCCATATTGCTTTAAGCGACTTCTTCTCTGAAACTAAGAAGTGGATATCAACCATATTTGACTGGAAGCATCCCTAGGTGGTGGTGATTAAAAATTGTACAAATGGTTGGGCTGACTCCCCAGGGGGCTGAGGGGCGGGGCTAAAAGGGGTCAATTTGGCTATATTGCTACAAACGACTTCTTCTGTAGAACTGTGCACTGGATATCAATCATATTTGATCAAAAGCATTCCTGGGAGGCAGGGATTTAAAATTGTACAAATGGTGTGGCTGACCCCCCAGGGGGCTGAGGGGCAGGGCCAAAAAGGGTATTTGGCTATACTGCTTTAAGCGACTTCTCCTCTGGAACTAAGAAGTGGATATCAACCATATTTGACTGGAAGCATCCCTAG